CATATACTTGCACTTGAGATGAATTGTGGTTATAGTTTGGGGGGGGGATACTGTGGCATAATCATGCAGCTTAAGGGTTCCATTTGTTATCTCTTAGATAACATTTACTTTCTTCCATATGAAGTGGACTCTGATCCATGAAAACTTGCTACATAATAAATGTAGTAGTCTTCAAGGCAGAGCTTTCCAAACTGTGCCGTGACACAGTGTGTTGGCTGCAGTATGTGTTGTGTGATGTGTGTCCCTATCTTATAAGGGGTTAGTTTAATCTCCAGTTTCCTAGTAAAACTGAATTACCGTGTCTCAAAATGATGCATGTCTAAAAAGTGTGTCACCAACATGAAAAATTTGGAAAGTTCTGCTTTAAGGTGTTACAAGAGTCATCTTTGTTTTTGCTGCTACAGACTAAAATGGTTTCCCCAAAGGAAACTTACTGAGATACTACTTCTTGAAAAAAGTTAGACGGTAGTCATCCGTATTAAAATTTTGACTGAAAATTTACTGAGTGACTTTAGGCAAGCAAATCTTTTTTAGCCCCACACACCATTTGCTATGGCAATAACAATACAGGCAACGTTGGTCTGAGGGCAACGTTCAAAGTTAGCTAACCCTTTGAAGGCCACGAGCCAGCAGTGGTTGTGGCCAAAGTGGTCACATATATACTGCTGGCATACAGACTGTACTAATACGCATTTTCACTTCACAACCCTCTTGACGGGCCCTACACCACCACTAATTTATGCACTGCTCTGTTTACTCACTCTTTTCCTTACTAGACTGTAGGGAAGGGAACTAAACTTGATAAGAAGGGGGAAGTGGGCTTCTTTATCTTTCCAAAAAGAAAGAAAAGAACTCATTCTCTCCTTACCCTTCTTGCCAGGCAGCAAAGAAGAGATTTTTATTTTTCTAACTTTTTTTCAAAAACAACTTTAAAAGTTTTTGGGGTATGCTGCCCCAGCACTTCCAATAACCTCTAATAAATTTTGAACAAAGTTTAGAAAAATGGGAGGGTCTCTTACTTGCCGTCTGCCTCCTTTCCCCTTGTTGCCTCCTCTTTACCAACCAAGCTGGCAGTAGCACCACTCTCACAACATCTTTCTTCTTGTTTGCTTTTCTCATTGGATGTGCTGCTGGTGAAGCAAAACTCTGAATTGTTTCACCTGTCCTCTTCATTTCTCAGAGTGAGGCGCGTGTGACTTGTCAGGAGCTTCACTGTGAAAAATAAAAATAACAAGCAAGACATTGGGACTGCTTCTGTGGCATCATCATTAGGGGACCCTCCAAATGCTGCAATAATGAAGAAAGGGAAAGTGGGGAGGGGAGGAAAATGTATTTTCTAAGGAGCAGAGACAGCACCACCACCCCTCCCACTGCAATGTGATGATGGGAATGAAACACTACCTGTGCATTTCTGAGATTTCTGAAGAGCAGAGACAGTGATATTACTTCTCATTGCAGTGCTGGGCTGGGAGGAGAGGAGTCTCTTGTACACTGCCATTGCTAGCAGGTTGGAGGTGCTTAGAAACAGGAAGAGAGCACTCCAGCTTGCTAGCAATGGTGGTGTACAAGAGGAAGAAGAGACACTTTTGGAAGTTTGAGAAGAAGTGTCCTTTCAAGATAATTGGTTTTGATGAGGTCTTGGCAGCCTGCTTGAAGTGACTAGGCACACCTGATCTGACCCACCACAGAAGTGCCACCCCTCTTCTCAGGATTATCGACATAATGTACCTAAAGCATTCAATACACTTAGGATATTTGCCAAATATTATTAGAGTAATAATATATTACAATGTCCTTTGGTTTGTTCATTGAATAAAGAATCCATTACTGTTACCAAGGCTTACTGGGTAAGAGAAAAAGATTACACAACAGGCTTCATCATCAAGTGTATAAACTTTATTTAGGCTGATGTACATCTTGTGCTACTTGGAGCGTGACCGAAGGAAGTGTGACTCACAGATACTGTAGTAATTCACAAATACATGGCACGACAGTAGAAGCTGCAGTTGCCGAGTATTTTGAATGAGGCATTTATTCTGAAACTGCATGAGGAATGTTGGCACTCTCACACAAGGCTGTGGCATTTCATAATGTGTTAGCACTGGGAAATGTACACGGTTCCTTATGCAGCTGAACAGCTCATAAATTCCTAGGGGACTGAGAAGGTTGAGCTTCAGATCTATGTGCCCATTTTTGTTCTGCAGAGCTGTGGTTTCTGTTCTTTAGGACACCCTCAAACAAATGTTATTAATAGCACCCAGAGGAAGCTACAGAAGAAAAAAGATTGGAAGGGAGAGATTGGAAGCCCCAGTTGACTTCTAAAAAGGGCCCAAAGGCACTTGGAGAAGCCCAATGAAAGTACGGTAATTAACAACAATAAAAGTGGAGGGAATCACCAGAAGAGACCCATTGCATTTAATGGATGTGGCTTACTTAGGTCCATTAATTTCATTGGATCTACCTGGAGTAGGACATATATGCACACCCATACACATGCACACGCACAACCCACTGTTTGTAAAAAAGAAGCAGCAGCTACAGAATTATGCTAGGATTCTCAGGGGCCTCCCAAAACCTCTTCGTGGGCTGTGGGTTAGTCACCCCAATGTAAAAGACCCTCATATATACTTGAAAGTCAGCTCATTTCTGTCCAGATCTGTCTTGATTTCTCCTCACAAAAGGAAGGTGAAATAATTACCTCATGATATATTTATGATATGCAGCTAATGGAAGAGGGAAGCCTGCAAAGTATTTTCAGTTTAGCATGGATATAAATAGTGTGATGGGAAGTACAAATGTTATTGATGTTCTAAGTAGACTAGGTCATTGTGTCAGATATAATATAGATGAAGAGACAGAACTGTCATTTTCAACAGAAAGTTGATGCAGGCAACTTCTGAAGGGATTATTACCACAGCTAAGGATGGCCAGTGCAAATATACTGCTATTCCCCTAATTCCCCAAACTCTACAATTTATAAAAATGACTATGCATTCTGTCCCTGACATATGATTCTTGTTTTGCCTAATACAGGATTGGACCTACAACCTGTCTATATCTCCTGCCTCTTGCCCACTTGACAATTACATACCTTTGAGCAAGCAGCAGTTTGTTGTAGAGCTATGCTCCACTTGCATGTCTCGGAACTCTTGTGTTTGGAAGAGGACTTAAAAAAAAGATACTCCATATTTTATGTAACCAATGGAGAGCTGGTAGTATTTCTATATACACCAGGTTCATTCACTGAGTGGAGTGAATCCTCTTCAGAATTGAGTTACATTACTGAGGGATATTTAGAGCTCTGCAAAGCACCTGAAGATGTTAATGAAGCAACAGCAATTAATTCAGTGCCCACAAGTTGTTTTAGGCTTCTAGACATCATACGGGAGATTCATAATCAGAATGTGAGGAGCAGGACAAGGGAAATGCCATAGCTCTGTGGGCCCAGGTTGAATCGCTGGAATCTCAGTAGGGCTGTCTGAAAACTTGACTGTAAACTATATGAAGTTTGAGCTAGGTGAACCTGTTATGTACTGAAGTTCTCACCCTGGGCCAGCAGGGGGATACTGTAGATAGTTATGCAAATGAAGGATCGAAAGTGACGTTCAGTGATTGGATGGATACTGTAGATAGTTATGCAAATGAAGGATCGAAAGTGACGTTCAATGATTGGATAGTTTTAGAAAGTTGTTACAGTAACAAGGTACTGGAGCTCTATACTGTATAAGCAGGCTGACTGAGCCTTTCAGTTCAGTTCTGTTCTGGCCTCTGAATAAAGAAGAGCTGTTTGAAGAATCGCTGTGTTGTCTGATATGTTGACCCACAACTTAACAGAACCAATGGCCTGATTCAGTACAGTTTGCTAAGATCTTTGTGCAGTCAGAGAATCACCCTTTTATAGATCAAGTAGCACACTCAGTAACACAGATATGATGAAGTAGTCTTTTTGAGACTACAAAAGCTTATGACAAATTTGCTCGCAGGGTGGTAAAGGACCCTTGTTAAATTATTCAGTATCTCCATAGTGCTCACTGGAAGGACAGATCGTGAAGCTGAGGCTCCAATACTTAGGCCACCTCATGAGAAGAGAAGACTCCCTGGAAAAGATCCTGATGTTGGGAAAGATTGAGGGCACAAGGAGAAGGGGACGACAGAGGACGAGATGGTTGGACAGTGTTCTCGAAGCGACAAACATGAGTCTGACCAAACTGCGGGAGGCAGTGGAAGACAGGAGTGCCTGGTGTGCTCCATAGTCCCTAGCTGAGAGTGGTAGGAGCACAACGAGACTGGAAGAGGGTTGTCAGATGTAATTCTGCTTCAGCACATTGTAATAATGTGGGGAGTTTTACTATTGCTTAAAAGTCGCCTTGCAAAATATCAGAATTAAAAGGAGGAATAAAAAAATACAGTACCCTGAATAGGAATACAGTGATACCTCGGGTTAAGTACTTAATTCGTGCTGGAGCACGATTCCTGTTCTCATCCTGAAGCAAAGTTCTTAGCCCAAAGTACTATTTCTGGAGTCTGTAACCTGAAGCGTCTGTAACCCGAGGTACCACTGTACAAGCAAATACTTTAATAAAAGCCATACATACAGTATTCTGCTTAAGTGGTGTGTGTTTTCATACAGTCTTAAAAATGTAAATTAAATACGTGGATAACTTCTTCCCACACAATGAAGCTCGAGTTTGAAACAAGCATGTGCTTGCTGTATTTGCTTCTACTTTTTTTTAATTGTTGCTTTGAATGGCAGGGACTCAGATGCCCCCTTTTACCGGAGTGAACTAGGGATGCCTAAGGCGTCAGAGGCAACCCGGACATCCGGCTTTGGGCCCCTGGCCAATCCGCAGAGACCGAAACGTCCCAATCGGCCAATTGCCGAGGGCCTTGCATTTCTGCATTTGCCTGCCTTTGGAGCTCTGCGTTTTTTCCTCCGTTGAGCTGACTGGACGTTGTTGTCGCCGGCCGCACAGAGTCGGTTCTTGATTGGTTGGCCGGGGCAGGGGAGGAGCCCTGTGTTCGCAAGCGGGAGAGACGGGCCCGCCGAGGCGCTTCCCGGGTGGGCGGGGGCGACTTTCTTTTCTGTGCGCCTCGCTGGGGCGCGCGGCCACTTTATACCCCGGCAGGTCGCCTTGGGCAAATCCGGTGAGTTTGCATTCCCGGCTGCAGGTGAAGGCATCGCCGGATCAAGGGGCTGCTCCACGGCTCTTCTGCGGCGGAAGAGGCACGGGGATGATGGCCATGCTGTTTCTGAATACTATCAGGTCTGTCGGTAATTTTCTGCCCCCTCCCCAATGCCTCATCTTCTGCAGCACAGGCTGCGATATTAGACAAGCGTGTACGTTAAGATTATTCCCATTTTCAGGTGACACATTGCAGGAGGATAGCTGCTTTTGTTGGGGGCAAGTCAGAGGCATCTAGTTAGTTTATTGCGCCATAAGCAATTTTTTTTGCAGGTGACATGCTACATGACCAAACAGGAACGTGGTAGGAAGGCTTACAGCATATCTAGATTGGGATGCTAAAAGGATATGATAGACTGTGGTACAGTGATAAAACTGCTAGCACATTTGCAAAGCTAAGCAGGATTCAGTATGGTTTCATATTGGATGGGATGAGATTCCTCCCATTGCAGAGGGTTGGACTAGTTGACCCTCAGGGTCTACTTTGCAACTCTACAATTATCAGCACCATGCTCTACTAACTGAGCTAGAGATGAGTCTATGAATGTGAGGGCTTTAGAATCTAAGATATTGTGTAATTTTACTGTGGTGAAAGGCCCACTGAACTCAGTGGGCTTGCTTTTGGGTAAGCATGTGTGGACTTGGGTAATAAAGTGCCTGAGTATTTATTCTCTTCTGTATCTCAGTTCTGCCTTCATACTTTCCTCTGTAGTGCAGAAGACAAACTGTTCTTAAAAGAAAGCGAAGAAAATCTTGTGATTACGAAGTTAAATGTCTGCTTATATTCTCTCGAAATTAAGAATCTAACCCCATAGGTTATGAAATCACTAGAATCAGTAGAAAGCCTGATCCACATTGAGGTTGTTGCTTGGGTTTAAACCTGCTTTAAAATGTTTGTAGTGAAGCTGATTCTGTATAAATACCATAATCCTTCCTTGGATGCTTTTGTGGGCTTGACATATCATTGGACATATTAACAAGCAGGTGTAAACTCAAGTCCTTTGTACATCTAGCTATGAGTAAGGACCAGAAAATATATTGGAACTGATTTCCAAGTAAGCATGCTTACAGTTGGGCTGTAAGAGTACCTGTTGTAGGGAATAAATGCTGATGAGTGAGAGAGAAGCCAACAATACTCAAAGCACATCCCTCTTGGATTTTGACACTTGGCTAGGAAGTTGGTGTTTTTTAATTTCTAATCATTTTTATGCAGAATTTGGTGCTTTAAAATCAGGTTGACTTTAAAACATTTTGTATTTCCCTTACTTGCCAGACTAATTTCTAACGCAGAATGTCGGTGAACCATTTATTTGGGAATAAGAAGAGAAACAGCTCCATATTGTATGGTGTGGATCAGGCAAAAGTTACCACTTCACCATTATCTCTCCAGAGAGCTACAAGCCGAAGGAATATTGGAAACTGTGAAGATGGCTTTCCGCCAAGCAAGCGTTACAAAAGTCATGCTGGAACTGAGCATAAAGAACTGGAGGATCCGTTTGGGGACAATGATGACTTTACAGCAGATGATTTGGAGGAGATAGATATTATTGCTTCCCAGGCATTGACACAAAACGCTTCTTTAAATGTGAACACAGTGAAACCTAAGCAGAATGTGGAGCTGTCTTCCCATCCAAATAGCACCATCAAAACATCTGATCATATTACGCAATGGAATATTGCCCCCAAATCTACAGGGCAGTTTGGTATGTGCTGTTTCAAATTTGCTTCAGTAGGGAGAAGTTAGCATCTTCTTACATAAGCATTTGGAAAGAAACTGCAACAAATATGCTTTAGGTATTTCCTCCCTCCCTCCCTCCCTCCCTCCCTCCCTCCCTCCCTCCCTCCCTCCCCACCCCATCTCCTACCCACAGTGTTTGGACAGTGCAGTTAAGAATTTCAGGTCTCAGAGGTACAGCCTAGTGCTATGTAACAAAGTGTATTCTGGTCCTCATTTGTGCTGGCAGTATAGGCATGTCATAGAATTATAGAAGGGACCCTGAGCCATGGGTTCAATTGTCTGCACATGTGCACAAAAGTAAATCCCATTGAGTTGTGGGACTAGCTTCCAGGGGAGTGTGAAGAGGGTTGCAGCTTTAGGGTCATTAGAATTTATTTTCTTGATAGAAATGTTTAGGATTGCACTATGGAGTTGGATGCGTGGTTTCTGGACATTTAGATCTTTTTACACCATGAAAACTGTTGATTCTACTTCAGTCCATGTAGCGGACTACTGAATACTGACGGTTTTGGTACACATCGTGCAGGTTGCCATGCTGTCTTCTTTTTCTGAGTACTGGGAAAATGGCATTCAAATCGTTGGCAGACTATAATTTCTGCCTCGAAATCTCATAACTCCCGGAAATTTTGGTCCTTAATAAAGGGAAGAAACACGAAATATCCCTTAACGGTGATCCCGGCCCCTACATGGGAGCAGTTCCTGAGAAAATATTTCTCAGTGGCAGAAGCTCCGGCCACTCATTGGAGACCTTCTAATCCCCTTCCCGTCTGGCCCAATACTGACCCTGCTGAAATCCTAGAATTGATAGCTGAGCTGAAAACTGGTAAGGCCCCTGGGCCAGATTTGGTCCCAGTTGAGGCCATAAAGCTTCATTCTGCATGGTGGGCAGGGATCTTAGCTAAAACGTTTGACGCAATAAATGCCATGGGCTTAATACCAGGAACGTGGAAGGAGGCCATTATAATTCCTATCTACAAAAAAGGCCCTCCCGGTGACCCAGGGAATTATCGGAATATCAGTCTGCTATCGTCCATTGGGAAAATATATGCCCGCTTCTTGCTGACAAGGTTGATGAGTACTGGGGTGCAAGCAGAATTAAATGCCAAGCTCTATGGAATTTATACTGCTTAGTTGTTTTGGAAGATCCCATGGAGCAAAAATCCCATGGAACAAGTTTTATACCGAAATCTTCATACGTAGATCTAGATCGTTAATTGGTACCCTCAACCACAAAAGAATTGAATTGTTTAGGTCAAATCCTGAGATCACAATTCACAAGTTTCTTTCTGTAAACAGGAAGTAGCACAGAAGAAACCTCATCAAAAGACCAATTTAGACTTGAGGCACTTCAAGCACAATATGAGGAAGCTGAGAAAAAGGTTTGTTTTGTTTTCTGAAAGAGTTCTGGTCTTAAGGCAGCCATGCTCTGTGGCATATGCTGGTGCTGAAGTTGTGGACCCAAGATTTGGATTTCATGGGGAAAATACCTCTACAAGGGGATTGGGCGGAGGACCTATAGTTGTATATGCTAAACCACAGAGCCTAGGACTTGCCGATCAGAAGGTCGGTGGTTCGAATCCCGGTGACGGGGTGTGTTCCCGTTGCTCAGTCCCAGCTCCTGCCAACCTAGCAGTTTGAAAGCACATCAAAGTACAAGTAGATAAATAGGTACCGCTCCGGTGGGAAGGTTAAACGGTGTTTCTGTGTGCTGCTCTGGTTCGCCAGAAGCAGCTTAGTCATGCTGGCCGCATGACCCGGAAGCTGCACACCGGCTCCCTCGGCCAATAAAGCGAGATGAGCGCCGCTAGCCCAGAGTCGGTCATGACTGGACCTAATGGTCAGGGGTCCCTTTACCTTTAAGGATGACAAGTGGCTGATTCATTTTTCTCTCTCAGCAGTTACTGTTTCTTATGGAATTTAGAGAGTTATTTGACCACTGGGGTAATGAGGCAAATATATGTGGAAGCTGGACTTAGCTCTGATAGGTTGTATAGACTTTTAAAAAAAATGCTTGTTGCAAAACCTCAGTGAATAAGTGAACCAGGGGTGAGAAGTCTGATGTCTATTGCTGCTCTTAACAGCCCAGTCTGATGCAGTTTTACATGGCGGTGACTGGCATCACATTCTTAATCTTAATGGGACCAATGGTTTTCTTGGGGGGAGGGTATGTGAAATAAAGCTTGCAAAATGCATACAATTCTTCTGCTTGCATCATGTTCATTAATTTGCAGTTGAAGGAAATGAAGGATGAAATCCTAATTAAAAATGGAGAAATCAAAATTTTACGGGATTCAATGCAGCAGATGGAATTCACTGCGGAGGAACAGCGAAAATCATACGCACTACTGGAAATGGAGAAAGCTCAAACTATATGTGAAAAAGAAAAGGAGTTTTCCAAAAAGGTACTATTTAATTAAGAGGGGGAATCCATAACAAAACCTTGTTTGAAGGTTCTTTTTCATCCTTTCCTCCTTTTCTTCCCTCCCCTCTTTAAGCAAAAAATTAAGGACCTTTAGTGCTATGCTAAATAGAAGAACATTGAAAAGATGGAAGTCCATGTCAGATTTGGTATTTTTATTACTACTATTGAATTAAGGAAATAATGAGCTACTTTTTGTCAAAATTATTAGTGGCTTGTTTTGTACACATAAAGGCTTCTTCTTGTTAATTCTATTCTTTTTACAATTTATGTTTTTAGAAAAGGATTTTTTTTTTAAAAAAAGGAATGTACATTTCATATGAATAATGCCATTTGACAATTAAGGTTAAATACCTCTGTTAGAGAAATCTGCCTTGTTATTTCTGGTTGTGATGCTAATGGACGGCAAGTGTGGTGTCTATATTTCACTAGCAAAGCTCTTGTTACACTCTATCCCAGTCACTCATGTTTTCACAAAGAAAGGATTGGACTCTTAAACACTCAGCTTTCCTAATTGAAATTAATAATTTACCATTTTTTAAAAATGGGTTTCTAATGTCAAGTTTATTCTTTCAGTTGGAGTCTCTGAAGTCTGAGCTGCAGTTCAGAGATGCAGAAATGAATGAGCTGAGAATGAAGCTTTCAAACTGCGAAAGATTTAAACCTGTTACTTCTTCAATGCCATATACCAGGTATGAAGTAAGAAGATGAATTCTGTCCACTAAATTCCAGACAGTTGGGCCAGCCAGGAGTTTGAGCATCCATCCTTCTTATAGCTGAATGTAATTAATTGCACTGCTTTTTTCATCTTGCAAGCTGTTGTGCGGAGACTTATCATTGAACGCACAGCATAATTCTTAAAGCAAGGTTGTCTTTAATTTGCAAAATCTTCCAGTCTATAATTGGAGAATAAACTAATGTCTGGTGCAGTCTGCTTGCACCTGCTTGACACTGCTCCTGTGCAAACTGCACTGGCTGCCTATTTGCTATCAGGCCCGATTCAAGGTGTTGACCACTATATATCTTGAGACCCAAGGCCTTGATGGTGCACTTCTTCCCACTTCTGCCAGGTTGGGCCCAGCAATCTGCATGGAAGGCCTGTTTCGTGGTCCCTTTGGTCAACATGACCCAGAATAGGGCCTTTCTTGTGCTGGCCCACCCATTTGTGGAACTCCCTCTTGCATAAAATATATACAATAAGGTCCGACAGGGTTTCTTTGGATGAGGAGGGATAACATGAGAAAAATATGACATACTACAGATCATGCATCCAGTATTCTGGAGAAAATTCTTTTAGTTGATATAGAAGAAATTTACCCTGCATATTCTCCTATTCAAGTGTTCTTTATTTTCTAATGATTCACACAAGTATTTATGGGAGGTAAGTGAATTGTTATGTTTGTTTTAGACGTTGCTCTTGAGCGGTTTTGAATTATTTTTCAATTACTGTACCATACTTTGTTGTTATTTCCTCTGACTTGGGATTCTCCTGGATAAGGAGCAGTTTACAAATGTAAATAATATTTTGCAACTGATTCAGATATTTTATTTAACCATTTAGTCCAAAGAAGAGCCCTCGTAATATTTCAAAAGCTGAAGAATGTACTCAGGAGAAAAAAAGTTTCCCCACTAAAGACTCTTTTCGATCTGAGGTTTCGCCTAAACCATCGTGCTCCAGAACACAATTGTGTGTCCAAGCGTTGCCATTTATTAAGGGTATGTAAATTCTTAGTTAGTTATATTTGACCATTGTACATCTTGCCGTGATGTCACCCTGGTCGCTCACCTGGGCAAAAATAGAGTTTGGCTTCAAGCAGGTCCTGCAAAAATGGATGGAAGATGTGCAGCAGCAGCAGCAGCAGCTAGAGTCAGCACCGCCATGCAGAACAGCTGAACAAGTGCTGGGTCTTCTGCCTCTGGTTACACTTGCAGAGGGCCCACTGCTGTATACTGGTAGTTCCAAGTCCATAGACTACCTGTGAGTGGTGTTTGTCTACCATAGGGCACCAAACTATTAAAATAAACCTCCACCTGTATTGTCTGGGTTTAATGCAAAAATATATTCAAACTTTCTGTTAAGCTAAATTAAATGATTGGGCAAAAAAATCTATTGATTCCTGCAGTTCATTGTTAGACTTACATTTACTGAGCTTCAGTTTGCTCCCTTTGCTTTCTGTAATTTCCCCCCAGTTGGAGGCTATTCACTCAGGAGTATCATGCCATTTTTACTAGGTTTCTAGATGTGTTGGAATTGAAAGCAATGAGCTAGCTGACAAGGCTTCTAAGTTTGGAAATCCAACTTGCTGTTAGGTGCACAGGGATCTGTGTGGTTTCTTCGTTATTGTTTAATTTAATTGAAGGGTGTCAGTTTTTTAAGGCATTTGGACATGATTGTGGGCAAAAGAACATTAGAGATGGATGCTTGGCATAATCTGTTGTATTTACACTGTATGGTTTACTGTTAATTCCTAATCCACATACTTCTTCTCAATAAAACTGGCCTGGATTGATCTTCTGCCTTTAACAGCACTGGTTTACCTTAATTCAAGGTAAAGCTTTCACAACACAGAGATAAGCATGATCACCTACTAATATCTCCAGGTCATACTGCTACTAAAAGCACAGAAGCAGAAATTAACTTGTCAGTTTACAAGTGACTGGATTTGAACCCAGATCCAGGTTCTTAAATGGTACCCTCAGTCTTGAAGTTCTTAGTTTATACTGGCTTCAGATAATCTAACCATGCAAATACATTTACTTATTCTACATCTAGCCTATGGAATGGGTGTGAGCCCCTACTGATTTTCTGATGTAGCAAAATACATTTTTAACCCACTTAAATATATGTATCTCTGTTTGCTACAGTTAAAGCATGAAAATGAAACATCAGCAACAGTGCTATTGTCTCATGATATAAGGCAGTATAGATAGGGCTAAAAGTCAAAAGGGAATTGAATATGACTGCTTGAATTACTACAAAGATTTCTTTCCAGACAGTAAGATGCCTAACCAAGAAAATGAGCTTGTGAAGGAAGAAACACGTTTGAATATCTTTGCTCAAAGAAAAGGTAATTTCAGATAAGAAATACTTCAGTTGCATACATTTCCTAGGACTGGGGTTGGCAACTTCTATTTGAAAGCATAAAATATGATCCCATGATGATAATAGGAACCCCAAAATACTGCTGTGAGTTGTTAAGCAGTGAAGTCCCCGCAATAAGTTTCTAAGTCCTCTTCTTCTGGGTTTGTCCCTGTTTCCCAGAATGCCAGCTGCCCCCAAACCCTTTTGAGTTATAAACCAAGCAGAAAATTGGCCCTGCTTTTATGAATTGCAAGTATTTTGAGCCACAAATAACGCAGAAGCAACCTTATCAATAACCTTTAATGTATGAATGGGAATAAACAAACAAGACAGACAGTTTCACCATAATGAATTTCTAAGCTACATTAAATATTAATTCTTGTTAATGTTTCACAGCTAATCTAGCCAATGTTGTTATAGTTACCGGACTCACAGCTGGTTGGTGCTACTTGGGAATGAATGACCTTTGTGGCCGCTTCAAAAGTGTCTGTTTGACCAAACCCTGACCATTCTTCTGATGGATGAAGCCAAATATAAAAGGGCCAATATTTATTTGTTTCAACAATGTATGTGCCACTTAACACCGTAGTTTCTAAGCAGTGGATTTCAAGTAAACTACTCCGATTGTGAATTTGGGGTTCCCATAATGCGGGTTTGCACTCTCTTCAGCTGCAGATGTCACCATAAGCAAACTTGGTCCAAAAATAGATGTTGAAGATGTCTGTTCTTTCCATTCTGCAACTGATTGTCTGTAATGAGTCACATTGTCTTCCTTGCACCTGCTGTTTTGTAAGTGCAATTGCAGTATTGGTTTAGCCTAACATTGCAATAAATAGGTATGAGGGTGACTGAATTTGGTTTTCTTTTGTGTGGGAACTGTGTTGTCTTCTGAAAGTAGACTAAGCAGTCAGTATTTCTCACATGCACACACAGCTCTATCTGAAATGCAACATTAGCCTTATTTTTACACCCATCTTGAAGCTTATCTCTTTCCTTTACAGTAGTATTGGGGTTGCTGAGCAACAACTCCCCTCATCTCTCCAATCACATTGACTGGGGCTGATAGGAGGGGGAGCCTAATTACCTCTTAATGGCTACAGATTTTCCGCCCCTGAGAGCAAAAACAAGAGGCAAGGGCAATACAGCTTGCTTTAAAATGTAATTCCTGGCAAACTGCCCTCTTTGTACGTAGTCAAAATTTATGGACTTGGTTCCCTTTCCAAGTAGAAGGGAGGACATAATGGCATTGGCACGAATGAATTATATTTACTTCACTCCTCCTTGCTTGCACTGGGAGGAAACAAACCACAATTGCTGGTTAAGCATTACATCCAAGCTCATACAAATATGGGAGCAGAACAAACTCTGATCCCTAGTTTGGGTGTCATGCTGTGAGTCTAGGTGTGTGTGTTTTATTTCTTCCCAGCATGAGTGGGTAGGAGCTGAGTGTGCCTGGTTTGCTTGTGTCCAGTAAACCATGGTTTACAGCTTACTGTGATATGTAGAAACGGCTATTGTGTACATATGTATGTGTGTGCTCATCTTTCTGTGTATGTGTCCAAGCGGTACTCTTCTCAAACCATAAGTTGGTTATATCAAGACATGGAATATATAGCAAATGCAAATACTGTTGGTTTTCTTTTTCCACCATGTTTGCAAAAACATCTGCTTGGCAGTTTTACACTCCTGTTGCAATGTCCATCTTGAACACTGGATTTTTATATTGTTGCAGGTTCCATCTTGATCAATGCATTGCTGAAACAGCCTGTCGTTCCTGAATCATCACTAGGCCTCTGCTATCTTCTTAGCTGTAACGTTGATGCTCAGTCTGGACCTTCTGTGCAGTCGAGTTCTTTCGAAACGTATGTTTTCAGCAATTTGTGATACTTAGAATGTAATTTTAAGTAATGCCTGCTGCCGTCCTGTGCTGACCCAAAAAGCCCAGCAAGCAGAGAAACTCTGTTTCATGTAGATGTTTTATGCTGTAATCTGCCCTGGGATCATTATTGACTCAGAGAATTGTAAAGTTAGAAGGCATCTGCTCTTTGGGAAATGTTAAATTAAGAAAAGGTTAACCTTGCTCTTTGTAAGCCTTGAAAACTGTAGTGGGTTAAGATACTAAGCAACTTATTTTTTCTGTGCCTGTTTGCGTAGAGGATCTACAGGAAGCATCAGCAACAGGAGTGCAAGCTCTGAGGAAGAAGAAACATCACTGAGAATCGCTCAAAAGCTTGCCTTAACGGGATTGAATTTGATTGCTGTGGATGAAGGCTCGTTGGCAGAAAACTCCGAAGAAACTGAGCGAAGAATATCCCACCTTAAGCGCTATAAAATTCCTGGAGCAATACATCTTCTTCCTCTCCTTGAACATCATATTGGTGCATACCACCAAGCCCTCCTCCTAATGATGAAGACGGGAAGCTCTTCTGGGAACCAGTCCGCTTGCTCTTCCAGGACCTCCTCAAGTGCGGCGTCAAGTGTAGACGATAATTTGTCTACTCTGGAAGAGTTTGCACTCGTGTCCCTGGGCATTCTTTATTATTTGGTATCCTATAGCTGGGATGTTCTTCATACACTGCTCTCCCTTACCATGAAACCAGATTGTGGTTTGGGAGCTCCAGAAATTCCGGAGAAGGATGAAGCTGTTTGCAGTAAGCAGTGCAGAGTCGTTCTTCAGGAGCCCAGCCCAGACCTAAATACTGCTAATGTGGACCAGTCCCAACATCCTCTATTTAAAAAGGTGCTGCAGCTCTTGGCTTCGTGTGCTACAGCAGCAGGGTACCAAAGACATGGAATCATGAATCAGTGTCTCAGAGTTCTGGTGAAATTAGCTGAAAAGTCAACGGTTGATTTACTTACAAGGTAAAATACAACTTCAGCGAAATGTCTTTTCCAAACACCTATTTCCTTCCTGCCTTGATCTAAGATTCAAAGTCATCGTAGTTATATTATTGTTGTTATTGTTGTTGTTAGTTAGTTAAATTTATATACTGTCACAGATAAAACCATGGAGAGACCTGGTCTGAACAAAGACATTGGATTCTTATCTCATTATACATGACAAAGCCATTTTTCACCTTCTCACCCCTTGCTTTTTCCTGTAAGACCTATTGCAGTCGTTAAGAGTCGTCAACAGGCTCATCACAGCTATCTGCCAATCACCCATTCCCACCACCCTTCTGAGTAATACCCCTCCCCACCTTCTCACTATATAGAAGGATCTGGCAACTTCTGTTTCAGTGTATCTGAAGAAGTGTGCATGCACACGAAAGCTCATACCAAGAACTAACTAAGTTGGTCTTTAAGGTGCTACTGGAAGGAATTTTTTTTGTTATATACTGTCGTTCATCTGAAGATCTCAGGGCAGTTCACAAGAAAGAGATACAAGATAAAAGCACAAAATAAATAGTTAAAACAAAAACAAAACAGTAACCCCCTCCCACAAACAAATTAGTAAAGGATGCCATTAGGATAGGTCTTGCAAACACACACACACACACACACACACACACACACACACACTACATATAAAAGGCTGCCATTCATTACAGAAAGGCAATTAGAAAGGCTAATTGTTACGCAACTGTGCAGAATTAGAGGGGAGGGGCACAGTCCCCGAGAAACCTCTGTATATTTCCAGCTGAAATGCATATAAATTATGCAAACAAATAACAATTATGTATCACTGAATACTCTAGAAAAACAACTGTTCTTGTGCAGAATCCATTCCTAAGAGGTTGTGTCCAATTCTTGCCTGAAAACTTCTTTCAAGTCTTACGGACAAAGCATAGGGCCATTCTGAGCATTTGCTTTATCCATAGGCAAATTAAATACATAGTAGAAAGAAAATGTAACCATATATACATTTTATTTTGCTACAAACTTTTCCTGTTCTGATTCCTAATAATACTCTTGCCTTTGTGGAAAAACTTGCTTTTGTAATCCTAAACATATATACTTGAATACAGTAGGACTTACTTCTGAGTAAATATGCATAGCATTACTTGACTCTTTTAGACATTTTCTAACAGTATATACTATCTGCAATAATTATTGCCTCTACTCTAATTTGTATTTTATTTTTCTATTAAGCTTTCAGCATTTGTTGAACAGACAAACACAGACTCTCTTCCGCTGCCTGTCTTCTGACTCTCCCTTGTTTGCTGTCCATCTGACTGTTCAGTTGTTAACTTTATTTGCTCAGCACTTGGAGCTGGCTGCTCAGTTTTGTTCTTGCTCAGGTGAGAAGGAGAAAATCTTCACTATCCTAGTGCTTTTACAAAACATTGACTTTGTAAGGCTGGAGTGAAAACCGAAATTAACTAGTTTATTTTAACAGATTTTTTGTGTTTTAAGCTTACAGCCTGAAAAAACTGTACTACTTGCCTCAAGACTTCTGCATTCTTGAACTTCTGCATGAAAATATTTTGCTATCCATTAACATTTCAGCACCTCAATTAAAGCAGACTTTCAAAGAAGTGAAAAAAATTAGAAGTGCTAGCTTACAAGAAGAAATGTTGGCAGTTGCTCACATGTACCTGTGAGTTTTACACCCTGTGTCAACAAGTGGCTCTGGTGGCCTGTAGTATCTATAAAATAACTAGCATTCTCCCCAGATGTGTAGGTGAACTGCCAAAAAAGTCTAAGAATTTGCACAAATGCAGTGTACCGTTTGGTGCTGTGAGCCACCATCATAAATTTGTTTTCTGGTTTCCCTTGGGCTCTTTAAATAGGCCAAAGATTTTGCATGATAGGTGTCTTGTGATCTGAGGTTCTGGTCCTTTTTGGGCATCATGCATAGCATCCAGGCCCAGCGATCAACTGCTGGAGCACTCTGTTGGTTCCCAAGCCTGGTACTACGCTGGAGTTCAGGAAGACTGACTGAACTCTTTTTCTTTTCCCCTCAGCAGAGAGAGAGAGAAAGAATGTGCAATTTAGAAGTTTTGAGGTGGCAGACCCTACTCATGAAGGAAGCTGTGGGAGTTCTGCTGTGCTGTTTACAGCAGTGCGAGTTGCTGGCCCACCTCAGCTCCTTTTTTTTTACCCACAGTTAATTATTTGAGGAAGTGAGAGGCTTTTTGAGGGTGGAGTAAGAAGATGAACAGACACAAAGGAGAAGAGCTCATCCAAATGAAGTAGGTCAGGCATAGGCAAACTCGGCCCTCCAGATGTTTTGCAACTACAACTCCCATCATCCCTAGCTAACAGGACCAGTGGTCAGGGATAATGGGAGTTGTAGTCCCAAAACATCTGGAGGGCTGAGTTTGCCTATGCCTGAAGTAGGTAGTGCAAATCACCACCTGACGCATTATTCTTTCAAGGTTATTTTAGAGGATTCAGTCTTGGTCCTTTATGGTAGTTCCTCCTTTTCCCTTCCCATTGCCCCTTTGTAGGAGGCACTTTGGAAATGGATTTGAAGTGTGGTTTTAAATGCTATTTAATTTTTTATATAAAAAGGCCCAGGGAGCTGCTATTCAGAATAACTTTGTAGTTTTTAAGGCAGTGCATTAGCATTACTAATGGATAACATAGAAATACTTTATTACTACACATTTCTTTTTATAGAAACCTGTCTCCTCTTGGCACTGTACACGTATATTACATCACGACCAGATAAGTCAGTGTTCGAGATGCGTTGGCTGCAGTTGGAACAAGAGGTAAAAGGGTGTGCATCTCTGTGTGGTTTTTAAAGTGTGAGTTTGGAATAATGGTTCAATTTCTTAATTTAACAGGATATGCTGGTGAGGGGGATTGCAGCTTAGTGCTCAGCCCCGCAAGCTTCCTTTGCAGATTTTGTTAACCCTAAATGTGCATACCTGAAGAAGGTTTTTGTGGAAACCAGCAGTGGGGAAGTCAGATATCTTATTGCTGCAGGCAGCAAGCAGTAGCATCCAGGCACTCCTTTTGGCACCTCAGGGGTTGTCACCGCTGGGCACCCCAGCTTACAGCCTCTCCTGCTGCCTGCCAAGTCCAATCCCAGTTAGGAAAAGAGGAGGGAATGTGTGCCCAGAATTACTGAAGTGGGGTTTGCGTTGTGTGTATCCAGCCATGGGAGGAAAAGGGGCAGTTATGGGGTGATGTGTTGAGTGGAGACCACTCAGAAACAGGTGGGAAGCCTAGCAGACAGGGCCTCCTCTGTCATGGAGCTAGCCCTGGTTAATATGCTATTGAGCGAGTGTATTAAAACTGATCTTAAAGCTTGATTCAATGCACATTGCTTTGAAGGTTTTTTTCCAGGTACAATCGTACCTTGGTTCTCAAATGGCTTAGTTGCCGAACAAATCGGCTCCCGAACTCCGCAAACCCAGAAGTAAGTGTTCTGGTTTGCAAATGTTTTTCAGAAGCCGAACTTCCAACACGGCTTCCACTTGAGTGCAAGAAGCTCCTGCAGCCAATTGCAAGCCGCGCCTTGGTTTTTGAATGGTTTCAGGAGTTGAACGGACTCCCGGAACGGATTAAGTTTGATAACCAAGGTACGACTGTACGTGTGCAGAGGATTGCAGACTTGCTTACATCCCGTTGAATTTAATGAAGCTTACTTTGAGCACATGTGTATGAGAATGCATCGTGAGTCTGATACTTTATGGACATTTGCTTCTTCCCCTCCCCTGCTTCATCTCGACACCTACATAGTCTGTTCTTTGGTTTTTGTTTCATTTTGTCTTAGACTGTTCGCTTGCTGACCAAGTGTGCGCAGTGCTGCAGCAACTCTGTTTCACTGGTTGGAACAGACTGCCAGTGCAACTCTGAGGTAACCCACTGAATGCAATGAGGCCTTTACGGCATAATTCCGGTTGGAGCAAGTTTGTCTGTATTTATTTTAAAGGTGAAAAATTAACCCATCCATGATGCATTATCGGTGTAATATTACTAGAAAGGAACACTTTCCTATTATAGCACGTGATTTAAGAATAACTAATATTTATAATAACAATTTTCCTTTTCTGTACTGCAACAAGATGGTCAAGGGTCTGGAAACCAAGCCTTATGAGGAATGGTTGAGGGAGCTGGGTATGTTTAGCCTGGGAAAGAGGAGACTGAGAGGAGATATGAGAGCCATCTTCAAATATCCGAAGGGCTGTCACATGGAAGATGGAGCAAAGCTTGTTTTCTCCTGCTCTGGAGGGTAGAACTCGAACCAATGGATTCAAGTTAATAGAAGGAAGATTCTGACTAAACATCAGGAAGAACTTTCTGACAGTAAGAGCTGTTTGACAGTGGAACGCACGTCCTCTGGAGGTAGTGGACTCTCCTTCCTTGGAGGTTTTTAAGCAGAGGTTGGATGACCATCTGTTATGGACGCTTTAGCTGAGATTCCTGCATTGCAGGGGGTTGGACTAGATGACCCTAAGAGTCCCTTCCAACTCTACAATTCAATAATTCTATGAGTACACTTCCATAGGAATATAAGAGCACTGCTTGATCAGGCTAAAGGGTCATCATAGTTCAGCATCCTGTTTTCACAGTGACCAACTGGGTACATATGGGAAGTCCGCATGCCAGAACCTAAGTGCAACAGCACTCTCCCCACTTGTGATTCCCAGCAGTCAGTACCCAGAGGCATGCTGCCTCCGATAGTGGCGGTAGAACATAGGCAACATGGCAAGTAGCCATTGATAGCCTTGCCGTCCATGAGTTTCTCTTTGCAAAATGGCAGCAGTGGAAAAGCCATGTTTGAGAACTGTGTTGTGCTTTCTCCTACAGGTAGTGAAGGCTCTTATTATAATGATGCATAGACAATGGCTGACGGTCAGAAGGGTGGAAGGAAACTTGTTTGATGTGCGTGGAAAGCAAGTTGTTCGGTTTTTACGGGACACTGCTTTGCTCTTACACAGTTTGTCTCAAAGGGATAAACTCTTCCATGAACATTGCCTGGAAGTGCTTCATCAGTATGATCACGTCATGCCTGGTGTCAGAGCCATCCTCAGAAAAGTTCCAGATCTGAAAGCCTGTGAAGGTGAGGCTACTGGCGTGAAATATGTGTATCTTAGTGAATATTGATATCATTAAAGTAACCTGCAGCCGTGCATGTTTTCTCAGAAGTAAACCTAAGTACCAAGTTCAGTGGGACTTGTCTTCAAGCAGGTGTGCACAGGCTTGCAGCTTTAAGCTTCCTAGCTTTTTATTATTCACTGACTTCAGTACTGATCACTGGACATTGGTTTAGCCTCACTTTTAATATCATGCCAATCTACTGCGCATGCAAAGTGAATGTTTCTCCTTTGCTAGAACCAATGAATCTAAGGCCATGTTTAAATGGACAGCACATTACAGTTTTGAACTGGATTGGCACAGTGGGTTGTGCTGTTACCAATTCCTGTAGTAATAGCAGGGTAGGAAGATAAATATGCAGTAGCAATACAAGTGAAGTACATGGTATTCTGGGGCCAGTGCTGGTATTGCCTCTCTGCAGTTTGCAGCTGTATTCCTTGATGCATCGTGACCATATTTTAATATTCCACTTTATTACTTTACACTTTGCTGTAGTTAAGCATATGAATCTGCTGTTGAGTCCTGAGCATTGGTATATCTTCTAGCCCAGGGTTTCCCAAACTTGGGTCTCCAGCTGTTTTCGGACTCCCAACTCCCATCATCCCTAGCTAGCAGGACCAGTGGTCAGGGATGATGGGAATTGTAGTCCCAAAAAAACAGCTAGAGACCCAAGTTTGGGAAACCCTGTTCTAGCCCAATGCCTTTGGCACTGACTACAAGCAACTCTTCAAGGTCATAGGCAAAGGTCTTTCCTAGCCCTGGTGCCTCAGGTACTTTTAATGGGAGTAATAGTGTTTACCATTGCACTACTATTGATCTATGATTCTTTGTCTAAATTATTCCCAAACAGAGGACATTGTTGTTGCTTCTTCACTGGCATAGTAACAACTTTTTAAAAAGTACCATTCCTAGTGTGAAACCCAGACAGCCATCTTTTTCCAATAGCTAATATTTAGATACTGGCCACATTCCTATGTTGTACTAAACCACGGTTTAGCAGTGCATTCCTGACTTGCAGGAAACTTTGGACTTGTACACTTCTCTCCTTCTTCCTTTATGCACGGCTTGGAGGAGGAATTTAGAAGCTTCCAATTGCACTTTGGATAACGATGATTTGTTGAGTTGTCTGGACTAATAAACTGTGTTAACAGAAACATGTTTAAACCATGTTTTTTTGAAGCTGACTTGTTTAAATGAACCGTAATTAAGTTTAACCACAGTTCTGAGTCTAGACAACTAAAGAAGCTGTGGTTAGCCAAAAGCAGAAGCACATGCTTCTGAACTCCTCTTCCCAGCCATGTCGGAGGAGTGGGCAGTGTGTGGATCCAAGGCTTACTGCAGCTTCTTCTTGCTCATGCACATCATGCTAAGCCAGATCCTAAACGTAGAAGCTGCATTATGGCCAGCTCAGTTTTGTCAGCACAAGGGGTGAGGAGGCTGTGGCTGTTCAGATGTTGCTGGACTACAACACCCACCATCTCTGACCATTGGTCACAGTGGCTGATGGGTTGTGGCTAATGGAAATTGGGAGTCTTTACAAGGGTCCACATTTTCCTCCATTTCTCTTTACCGCATTATAAGGCAGGGATGAGAAACCTTGGCCTCCCAGATGTTGCTGGGCCCTAGTTCCCATCAGCCCCAGCCAGCATGGCTAATGGGTCATGGATGATGGGAGTTGGTGTCCACCGGGAAATTCTTTCACTCATAAGATACATGTTTTTTCTCCCCCAGAACTTGCATTGGATGAACTGTACCCATTGGAACCAGAAGCTGAGGATCAAGAAATTGACTGCAGCTAATCTTTGTTCAAGAATATATTGGTTTACTTTCTAGAAAAGGCAAATTTTGATATACGAAACTTGTCCCAAGTGTCCAGTAACCAGGAACTATTCCAATGGAAGCAGTATGTTTTTTGTTTTTTTAAAAACTGTTTTACTCAATGAATTTGCAGCCTAATATATTGTAATATAACACTGGTGGCTGAAGGATGTGATATTAAAAATAAAATCTAAAAAGCTGTTTCTGTGTTTATGGGAAGGACTGCTTTGCTCTTCAAATGTTGCTCTCCTTAGATCACTGAATATTGTGGGAACCTGTTTAAATATGTATTTCACTGTATTTTCAGAAGAATGCTTGTGTTCCTAAAACATACAATCCACTTCCTGTCTGTGGCTGCAATCCTATAAATGCTTCACAAGGACATGAGTTTCGTTAAAGTCAGTGGGTCTTAATTCTACATTGACTAGCGTAGGATTGCACTGTTTGTCAGAAGTGGGAATGCATCCCTCCAAGCCTCTCTACTTTGTCCTCAGGACCCCCCAGACCATGTCCCTCCATAAGCCCTGCTTTCTACCCTTTTGCCCTTGCTTCAGTTTGTGTGGAACATGAATGGTGATAATCCTTCTCACTTGCCAGGATGGGGAGAAAGGTGTGTGCAGAGGGTGTAGTTACCTCTGGCTTTTGCATGACTGTATAAAATATCCCATCCCTTGCTCTGCACACTTTTGCATTCACCCTTTCTGACACTTTTAGCCTTACGTTGTATACCTGTGAAGGTATTTCTCACTGCAGAATCTGCTTTCAGGTGACTGGCTGCAGGTACATCCTCCTTCCCTGTTTTTAACTCTTAACAGGGCAGGGTCGGAGCCAGGATTTTCTAGGCTTCTAAATAGCATGGAGAGCCTCAGTGAACAGAACAGGCTCCCCTCAGTAGGCATACAGTAAAGGTAAAGAACCCCTAACAGTTAAGTCCAGTCGCAGACGACTCTGGGGTTGCAGCGCTCATCTTGCTTTACAGGCCGAGGGAGCCGGCGTTTGTCCGCAGACAGTTTTTCCGGGTCATGTGGCCAGCATGACTAAGACGCTTCTGGCGTAACGGAACACCGAAACTAGAGCTCTGCTCTCCATCACAGAGTTCTAAGCACATAGGGATTAGAATGCCAGAGTCCTGCTTCTGCCATGCAGTGATCTCATCTTGCACTTTTAAATTTATACACCCAATCTCCTAGAAGTACCTTGCCCCACTTTGCCTAGATCTCTTTCATAAACTCCACTAGAAATGCAGCAGTATCTTCCTTCAGCTTCTCATACTTCCCGAGTGCCTGGTTCTAATATTTCTGCCTTTAACTGAAATAAATCTTTAAAGTATTGCATTACAAGAGGGAGCCACCCTCATTCTTGATGAGTTTCAAAGGACTAGTAGTGCTGTTCACAGTAAGAATTGTCTAGCTGTAAGGGAAAAAAGTCTCTGGGAATTATAGAAGTGTATTGAGTTACCTGTCTAGGAATTATGCTACGTCAGGGACTGAGTCACTAAAAACAAGCCCTCACATGTGTATTTAATAACATCTGTGCTTCCAATATTTAGTAGTGAAATCAGTTTTAAAGTTGTGTAAGCATGTTACAGCAGAATCAATTTAATTAGTGTTTTAAATGCTTTTGCTTGCAGTTGGTGACATCAAACCCATAGGATTGCAACTTTGAGAACAGGTTCTTGTTTTGTTGATACGATGTCCGTATTATGATGTCTGATTTTCCTAGTAGTAGTTCTAAAGCTCTAGCTACTGAACAGAAACAAATATGCTCCTGTGAGATGTGAGGACAGAGAAATGCATAGTGTTAATCTTTATATAAATAAATGGGAGCTAAATACTTAACCTAATGCATATGAAAAATGACAGCACTGTATATATTATAGCCATAATGAAACTAATTGACCAATACGTTGATAATATTTTAAATGTGGAACAGGAGCAAACCAATCCCATATCTGTCTCCTGTTATCCTTTTCCTATTAGCATGAGCCACAATCGACTAAAAAGTGGTCTCAGTGTCATTTTGGATGCTTCTTAGCTGGTGCCTGCTGCTTAGGAAGTTTGGGCAGTTTCTACAATTGTTCTCTTATTACTCTACCATGAATGTAAGCTAGCCCCTTTTGTTATCTGTATAAACTTGTCTGTGGCTAGTTATTTTGTCTGTGTATTTGAGAACAACCTACTTGCTTTCCTCTTGCAGTTTGTTTCCAAAGAAGTCAGTCCAGCGACAGTTATTGTTGATCCTCTTTTTCAAGCCAAAACAGATTACAAACAGTACGGTATCCGGGCAAAGCTAGATGCTGCAGTAACATGCACAGATTTAAACATGGTTTAAAGTTAAACCACGAGCTCCAAAGCTTTGTGAGATACTGATTTGCCAGGACTGTGGCCAGGGAGGAGCTGAGCTTGAGCTTTCGGTTTCATCCGGAACTTTGGGAGCGGCTTTCCAATGCCTAATGGCGGATTAAAATAAAATAAAATAAAAATCTTAAAGGGGTGAAGGAGGCGCTGGACGGGAGAGAAGGTCTCCATCGCGGAAGGCTGCCTGCGCGCCATTCTACTCCAGTATGTATTTTAAACAGGAGGCTCCGAGTCCGAGCGCTTGCAAAACAGAAAGGGAAACGCTGCTTGGTTCCGCAGCTGTTCTTGAATTTAGGGGTTAAGGTAGTAATAAGGCGAGATCGTGAAGGGAAAAGGGTGGGACGACCTTGGCCGCCCTAACATTTCCCTCCTTTGCGAGTGCCGTTTGCGCAACCCAAAACGCGGCAATGCGGGCACGTCGCCTCCCTTTCCCGTCAGTGGCGCCTGCAGGAGGACGGCGCCATTTTCTTGGGTTCATAGATAGGATTCCCAGCATTTACACGGCGAATGCGGCCGTGGGGTTGGGAGCCGCTTTGCTCCCTTCCTGGCCCTCCGCCACAGGAAGACGAACTCGGGCCTCTGCTGCGTTGCTCAGCTCCCGGGAGAGGAAAGGGGCGCGCGACTCTTTCAAGACAGGGCGCCCTCGTGACCCTGCGCTGTGGAGCCACCTGCCCTTGAGGCGCCCGGAGATCTGTCTCAGGAGAAAACACGGACTTCTCTCCAGGGTCGAGAAGGAAGCTCTCCCGTCTAGTTCGAGGGCAGAGTGGGCGCTTGGTGCCCGCATCCTAGAGAGACCCCTACATTGGTGTGATAGAGGCCTTCTTGCCCCCCAGTAGGAAGGCTTATGCAGCCTTCCTCAGCTGTGATTCCTGCATTGCAGGGGGTTGGACTAGATTGTTCTTGGGGGTCCCTTCCAAGGATTCTGATTTTATGAAGCGCAGCTCCTTTGCGAAGCGGTGTAAGGGGGTCGGCAGTGTAGCCCGAATGACCTGAGCATGGGGCTTCTTCGCGTATATCTGTGGCTTGCCGCTGTGTGTCTACTTCATTTATTAAAGCATTTTGGCCACACTGAGAGGGTGAAAGGAAGGGTAACTACGGGCATAGTGTTAACATGAGATCTATACATTGCATTGGCCATCTTGTGCCTTTCCCAAATTTTCACTGTTCTTTCTTCCTAGACCTGAGAATGTGGCCAACATCTGTGACTCCCTCCAAACCCATTGAGACATTTGTTTTTATGGACCTGGAAGCAACAGGCTTACCACCCTCACAGCCTAAAATTGCAGAAATGTGCCTGTTTGCTGTGTCTAGACATTCCTTGGAGAATCCTCAATACAGCAACCCTCGCCCAAAACCACTACCTCTCTTACCACGGTTAGCAGATAAGCTGTCGGTTTGCATTAATCCAGACAAGCTGTTCACCCCGGCAGCAAGTTCCATTACAGGACTGACGAATGAAGCGTTTGCCATGAACAGAAAGCAAACCTTTAACTTGCATCTTTTGCACATGATTGTGGCCTTCTTCAGACGGCAGCACCCACCAATCTGTTTGGTAGCACACAACGGCTATGGTTATGATTTTCCTTTGCTGAAAGCTGAACTCTCTGCGCTGGGTCACTTAGCCCTTGACGAAATCTATTGTGCAGATACTATTAAAGCCATGAAAGCCTTGGACAGCGAGAACAACCAGCTTCAGCAGTTTGCATACCAACCTAGTGCACCTGGCAGCAGGAAAAAATATGCTCTTCGAGACTTGTATTTTAAATTCTACAGAGAATATCCTCCGAACAGTCACAATGCAGAAGGAGATGTCATTGCGCTAATAAACATCTTTCAACAACGTGCCAGCGATCTTATGTGCTGGATGGATTCAAATGCAATTCCATTTAATTCCATTAGAGCCATGTACAAGGAAAATGAGAGATACGCTTCCTTTTCAAAAACACCTGGAAACATTCAACCACCCCACTCCAGTCACTTACAGATGCAGTCGCGGCAAAGGGTAGCAGCATCTACTTCACGCTGGCCTTTTCCAGAAGGTGGTGAACCAGCAGATAATAATTATATTCCACTAAGCCATAGAAGTGCTGATAAATATTTCATAATTCCTGACGAAATTAAGAGTGTTCAGGGTATTTTGATTCTGTTTCTTGGGCTAGTAGTCATGTGGGTTGCAGTTAAATACCCTGTTTAATTTAAGAATATGCATTGGATTTTGTATATTATAAGTTGCAAGCTGCAAAAATGTGTTTCCACCAGCTCTGGTTCTTATTTTCTCCCTCCATTTAGATCTTCTATAACCCCTATTTTAGAAAAGGGGCATTGGTTTCCAGTTTGTTTCTCGGCCCAATTCAAAGTGCTCACACTGGTCTTTAAAGCCTCAAATGATTCAGGTTCTAAATATCTGCCTCCTTTTGTACCGAGCCTCTTGTGTGCTGAGATCAGCAGAGAAGGTCCTCTTGGTAGTTCCTCTGCCCTTAGAGGTTCAGGGAAGGCATTCTTTGTGGTGGCCCCTAAGCTGTGGAACTCCCTTCGCACAGAGATGCTTCCGGCACTTTCATTTTACTGTTTTTGGAGAATGCTGAGGTTTGAGGTTTATGTTCTTAGGATGCACTTTATTTTTATGGCTATTGTTTTAAACTGTTTTTAATACTATGTTTCAACGCTGTAACCTGCTCTGGGATCTTAGGGTAAAGGGTGGATAATAAATTAATATTATTTTGGTGATTCTTGCTGTTATTATTTTGTTGGTGTCTTCAAGGGCTGTGATTTTTTTCCTCTTTTTTTTACAAGCCATTCTGCACAATGTAAAAATTAAAAGGATAAAATAAATTTTAAAAATTGTGTAAGAACTCTAAATGTCGGAGTACACTGGTATATATGTGAAAAAGCCAATTTTCATTAGGGGAAAGGCCTAAAATTCCAGAGAGATGAAGGTGGGTAAAAACAGCCATCTTCCTTTCCATTAAAAAAAATGCTAAAAAACTGAAGTGGTTGAGGAAAGCAGTTCAGAGTCTTGCTGTCATTTTAAGTATTTCCTAGAATCTTGACTCTGGAAAGTTCCATGTCGCCTTGGGAAGTGCCCAAAGCTAAAGCTTAGGCATAAAGAGCAAGGTTGTAGTTTTTATTTGCTGACTTCACTTTAGAACAGAAGCGGGGAATATCTCACCCATGGTCTTCCACATTTGACCCAACCAAGCCATTTTGGGCAAGCCACACCCACCCTACAAGATATACCCCACATACCAGATGTGTGACATGACTCTTCTTTTTCTTCTTCTTTGGCAATCACTTGTAGCTGAGTAAGATTGTCTTCCATAAATATGGTTTTAACAATGAGTCCGTAAGTGACTGTGGAGGCCAATTCTGGATCCACACGTTCTTCCACAGTAGAGACATTGGTTTCCGGGCAGGAGTTGATCACAGTGTGTATTTGCCAAGCGTGCCTTCCTCTTAGCATGTTTCTCCCTTGCGTCCTGAGTTCGAGTGTCTTCGAAGCCCATGACACCTTTGGTAAAGGCTGTTCTCCAATTGGAGCGCTCACAGGCCAGTGTTTCCCAGTTGTCGGTGTTTATACTACATTTTTAAAGATTTGCCTTGTGACTTGAATAGCAGGAGCTTAAAGCGATGGGTCGTGGGAGTGTGGAAAAAACCTCCCATCTTAGCAGTAGTTTCAATGGAAACTGCTTCCCTCCACTCCCAGCACTGCTGTTTGAACCTCTGGATTTAAAGAGCAGCATAGACATGTTTGCAAAAGGGCTTTCAAAACAACCCAGCACTGCTCATATTGTAGGTCTGCCAAGGGTGGGGAGATAAAGATTTGTCCCATTGTCCAGCAAAGGTTCCCCAAGTTAGGTTGATTGATGAGATACTTTCACAAGGTGTATTTACCATAGTGAAAGCAAGAATGCTAATGCCTTCTTCATGCTTGACCTCTAACCTAAACAAGTCAATCCAAATAGAACTTGATTTGATCTACTTAGATCCCTGGAGGAGCCCTGTTTGAGGCACTGCTGCCACTACCAGTCACACTAGCTATTTTTATGAGTTAGAACCTCACACTAAAAACCTATGCTCTATTTGCACACTGTTCATTTCACTCATCACCTTTAGTGGAAACTTAGACCCAATGGTAAATTTAGGACCCCTCCTGTGCCTCCACAGAACTCTAGATCAGTACTATCCCTCTTTGCTTTAGACGAGACATGGCCAAACTTAGCCCTCCAGATATTTTGGGACTAGAACTCCCATCATCCCTAGCTAATGACCAGTGGTCAGGGATGATGGGAATTGTAGTCCCAAAACATCTGGAGGGTGAAGTTTGGCCATGCCTGCTTTAGACAAAGCCTTCATAGGTAACCGAGCCCATCAGAGTTCTCTAAGCTCTCAATGTTTGTACAGACTTCATGAAATCTGCCCTAGAATGTTCCACCCTTAGCTTGACTCCCTCTTTACCACAGTGCTCCATACCTCCCCTTCAATCTTTGTTATTTTGTGTTTAGGTGGGAACCTAATATTTCCAAGTCTCTCTTGCCAGCCAAAGACAGCTTGTATTGCATAAAGCAGAGTAGCCAACATGGTGCCCTTCTGCCGTTGCTGAGCTCCAAAACCCCATTGTCCCTGTCCATTGGCCATGTTGGCTGGAGCTGACAGGAGTTGGGAGTCGAACAACATCTTGAGGACAGCACATTGCATACCTTTGGCATAAAGCTTCAGGGGCCAGCAGGGCTCCTCTGGCCCCTAATTCACTATCACAGACTGCCCCAGTGGTTTGACACCCAAAATAATCTGCAAACACATTAGGGTTGCGCAATGCTTTGAGAGCTGTATCTTCTTATATGGAAAAAAGGTAAGGCTTTCACCATGCAACCCCCAGTGGAGTGTTTATAGTGCCGCATCACATTCCTGGATTTGCATGAAGCTGGTACAGGGTTTGGGGATTAAAAGAGAAGGCAGGTTATACAACACCAAGGGAATGAGAAGTTGTGTTTGAAGCAGCAGTTTGAATAAAGCAGGGATGAGGAGGATGCACAAAAGGAGGGGGACAAGGCATGGACATGGTGTGAATGTAAAAATGGGTGCAAAGCAGGGGTGCAGAATAGAAGAGAGTAGTGGCTTCAGAAATGGGCTTTGGAAAGTGAAAAGCGAGTTTAGATAGCAGGAGCTTAGCCAGCAGAACAAGCAGGGGCACAGCCCTTACTCTCTTCATACTGTCACTGTTTGGGTTTGGATTCTTTTCAGTTAGTGCAATTAATTTTCTCTGGGTCAGAACTACTGTCTTTTACATGCAGGGAGTTGAACACTATTTTTCTAATACTAGCAGAATTCAACAAATAATGCAAAGTGAGTACGTTTTGACAATATATTTATTATAAAAAGCTGCAAACATGCCAATCCTTTTGAATTGTCTTGTTTACTATAAGCAACATACAAATCAGGATTAGTTTTTTAAAAAAACAATATAAAAAAGAATTGCATTGTATATTGATATATAGTACACTGACTACAATAATGCAGTTTGAAAAGTCTGTGAAAGGCACTTCCAAAGTTCACAATAAAAAAGTAAACACTGAAAATCTACAATATGAAGCTGAAATTCAATTTCCCTTCTGCTTCAGTAAACAATTTTTTTATTAAATTGACATATATAACACACACAGTATTTCACAGGCCACAATTTTCCCCTCAGATACTCACATATAAGCACTATTGAGTTAAACAAGACTCATGTAACAGCAGGATTGCAAATAATGAAATACTTGTTGTATGTAAGCAAACACTTGAATTCTGCTCATAGATACACACTGGTGTCATCATGTGACTATGTGAGCTGATATTTCACAGGTCACAATGGAACAGGAATTACTCATGATGTTGATACCTTTTAATGATCATATAGTTTCTTCCTAACCCTCACTCCCACCAAACTCTACCTAATACTGGGAAGGAAGGTTAAAAACACACAAGATACTGTCTCATGACCATGGCAAAGTGATGGCAGTCAACAGAGCTATGCTTTGTGATACAATCACTTATGTGGAAGGGTGGACAGGGTTTCAATCCATGCTGGCACAATGGTGAATTAAGATAACTCTGATGCTTTTCCTGAAGGAGGTAGAGAAAGACACACTTTTCAGCAGTTTGTTACTATACACCCAGAAAGAAAAAGTAGAGCTTAACACAGCACATGAAAATCAATATCTATATAGCCTTCCTAACATCCCCAATAATCACCATAAGACAGGACTTTTCCCCATTACAAGTCACGGTAAGGAAATGTAGTCAATGCTAGTTTCTATAACTTTTCATTTTACATTAGTAGAATGTAGACCATATGCAATCTCATGAAGAGAGAGGTCTATGCCTACATAACATGATCCACGTTGCAATCCTATGCACATTCCCTCAAAAGCAAGTCCCACTGAGTTCAATGGGGCTTACTCCTAGGTTAAGGGTACATGATTGCAGCCTTAGTCATTTTACCAGAAAATTCTTGAATAGGAAAATGCAACAGAAAGAACTATATAAAGACGTTTAAGAAGGCACCAAGATCACAGTAGCACTCCTCAAAGCATTGGTTGCTCACACAGAGAAATGCAGGGACTCCAACTTATAACTACATAGGAGCAATCCGCAATGAGAAACTGCAGCTCCAAAAACAGGTTGCCTCCTCTTCACATTTCTCCTTCACAGCGAAAGCAATTCTGACAGTGGTTTGTGATGGTTTTGGTACATGGATAGATGCAGGCAGGTACAGAAACCCATTAAGAGCTGGAAGCAAATTTCTGTGAGTCTATTTAAGGTGCAATCCTATACTACCTGGGAGTAAAAAGCCCATTGCTCTCCAGGAGACTTACTTCCAAGTATGTATGGAGAGTGCTGCACTGTTAAGCAGCTTCGAATAAAGAAAATAAATGGTTCTGAAGGGGCATTAGAAAGATTTACAGAGAAAATAACAGGCAACTAGCCATGTTGGCTATATTACCTCCAGCATCAGGGACAGTATACCTCAGAAAACCAGTTCCTGCGCTATCATGAGTGGGAGAATACTACTGTGGCTTGTGGGCTTCCCATAGGCATTTGGTTGGCTACAGAAAACAAAATGCTGTGCTAGACAAGTCTTTGGTCTGATGCTGTAGGGTTTTCCTTATGAGCATGCTCAGTACCCATGGAATGTTGAACTGCCAGACAGGAAAAATAATGAAAAGGAGAGGCAGGGTGGAATGCCTAAGCTTCCTTATACATGGAGGAAGGCATGTTTGGCTGGCACTCTCAACAGGAACATTAGGATCAGAACAGGAGAATACAATATTTATGTATTTATATCCAGCTCTTCTACTAAGCCTACTAAGCCTAACATTGTACTGCAGGTCTGACATGTTAAGATGATTAATGATCTCATGCAACCATGTTCATGCAGTGGTACAGTACTTTTGGTTGTTGTTGTTGTTGTCGTTTTGAGGAAAGGGGAAACTGGAATATTAGACAGAGGAAAGTTACCTATGAAACTGACATGCTTGAAATTAAAACTGTGAAAGCATAATGAAGCAAATGACTATGCAATTACTGCACAAATACAGAAAAGTTTTCTTTAACAACTTACACTATTTCTTGCCAAAAAACCAAAACATTCTACTCAGTACTATTTCTCTTACTTCTGTTCATTAGATTTTACTTTGCAATAGTTAACTGGAAAAAGTATATCCAGTTTTTACACTGATTTTGTTGAGGTACACCTCTCATTTTATAAGCATTAACAATTACTGGCAAAATCATGGTAGCAGACACTTGTTGCTACTCGTCTTATCAACGACTCCGTTTCACTAGACTTCAAATTATTGTATGGCATATCCATGACTCTTACTCCGAAGTTGTCTTTTTAAGACACTATCAACAATTTAAATTGAGATATAGGAAAACAAATCCAGGTGATAGATCTTTTTTTTTTTCTTGTGGTGTTCAAGGTATTAAAAAGCAAACAAATAGTGTCAGGGCTTCTACCCCACCTGCATCAGAGTAGTATTTTTAGAAAGTATGCCACAATATAGATTCTGTTTGAAAAGGCTTCTGCGCAGATACAGAGCAGTAAATCCATTTGAAGTTAATGCTTTGGAGGATCCATGTATGCTGGGTTATAAGGTGGCTGAACTGCAGGAGCTCCAGCTGTAAAACAAGACAACATTTTAAATATATATTTTATAAATACTTTACTTTCTCCTGGGCTGATTACGAGCACTCTCAGAGAATCTACTGATTTGTGAGCTCAAGAAGGACTTCCAGCCTCATCAGTAAAATCTTCAAAACAGATTGTATCAAGGCTTTTAAAAGTTCTTTTCCATTAAAGGAGAACATATCTCTTAAAAAGAAGTTCAAGCAGGGTCTCTTATGACAAAACTGACTCTGTCCTTACATGCTTTTAAGGGTAACCCAAAGCTGAGTTTCTGTACAGGTATACTGCTCAGTGTGATTAGATTCCTGACCAATCTATAAAGTGAGGACAGGATTGTACATTTGGGCTCTGCTGCTACGGAATGACTAAGATGGCAGCATATCAGACTGAGGGATGCCACAGTCAGCAGCGTAGCTAGCCACTTGGGTGCCTGGTACAGGGGCGTGTCCTGCAGCCGGGGGCGGGGTGAGCCACCCATGGGGTAGGGCAAGCCTCTCCAATGCTTGGAGCCTCTCCCCCGCCTCCCCCTCAGCTGTAGGGCAGCTGAGGGAGAGGCAGTAAGCAGACGCAACTCCCATGCTGCTGTTTTAGGCAGCGTGGAACCTGCAGGCGCCTAAGCTACCATGTCACTCCTAAAAGGTTTTGTGAGCCCATTTTTTATTTTTATTTTTAAAAACTCATTTTATCACACACACCCTCGGTGACGACACCTGGGGTGGACCGCATCCCCGGTGCTCCCCTTCCTCCGCCACTGGCCACAGTGGCTCCAGTATGGCTTTATGCCAGCATATTTGATACCACCAGTACAACAGGCAAAAACTGACAAACTTGGCAGTTTAATGGTACAGCAACATGCTTTAGTTAGGATCCTAAGTTTGCTCAGAGGTCACCATCACCAGGAAATTTGGTGTAATATAATGCCAGGAAAGGTTATGCAGTAATAAAGATCACTTTTTATAGAAGTCAGCAGAGAATCTAAGATAATTGCCTGCCCCTGCCCCCTCGCCACATAAAAGGATAAGATTCCAATTAACTCTGCAGCCAACGATAGCATAATACAGTAAGTATACAAGCCCCAATCAAGGATCACCAATCTCAGATATTAAATAGCACATCAAGGGGCACATTGTTGTCCTCATGTCAAGAAATCTTGGGAGCATGGAATGAGAACTTGGTTGGTGGAAACCTTGATGAAATAGCAAAGAACTAGAAAAAATAAGCTAAGAAGTAGAATGAGCATATTAATGGTCCACGTCCTCCCTCTCAGAAACCTTGTATTTGCTCCACTTCAAGGCTCCAGATAAAAACACCCACAGACACCCCAGCTCCTGCAGCTGAGGGTGCAAGACAAAGCACCCCGTTCTTCTCAACAGATTCTCTCCTTACCTGCCATGGTTTCATGGTAGGGTGGTGGTCCTGCAGGCTGTGTGGGGTAAGGTGGAGGGTACTGTGTTGGGTAGGGTGCTGCTGGCATCCCCTGCTGCGGTTGCACTGGCAGAGGATTATATCCTTGATACATCCCTACAGGGTAACCCTGTGGTGGCATCCCAGGCTGCTGAGGATATGGCACCTGCACCACAGTTGTGGCTGTAGTTGTGGTCACGACAGCTGTAAGACATGGGAAGAGTGCCAGGGAAGCAATCAGCACATGAAGGAAGATGATTATATTTCTAAACAATCCCTTTGCTCCCTGTTTTTTCATTTTTTGTAAACTCAACTGCCACCAACTGCATTCTAAAGCTATTCTGACTACATTCCTGAGGTGAACAGCGATGAAGCTTACCCTCCCCTCACACACAAATTTCTTAGTCCTCCTAAGAGACACAAACAGACACGACACAGGGTTGAATCCCGCTAAGTCACTGGGCATGTGGAATGACTTCTGCAAGCACATCAGAACTTATCCTCCTTTTGCACTCCCTGCCCTGCACCACCCCAAATCTGCTCCAGGGATTGAGGAAACCCCAGAGCAGATTTGACAGGAGGGGAGGGGAGAGGAAGTTCAGTTGTGCTTGTAGAAAATGTTCTGAACATACTACAGTTTAGCTGAACTCAGCCTGCATATTAGATTCACTTTACAAAATCATGGCTATTTGGTTGTTCAGATATTTAGACAATTCCTACCATACCTGTTTTTTGGCATCAAGTCCAAAATGCTGCTGAGGTAAACAAGCTCTTGATCTCAAATGTGTCTAAATAACATGAATTGCTTTCTGCAGCTATATCCCAAAATTACGCATGACATTAGACAGCACTATATTTTTAAAAAGAGTTTATGAGTCATGAATAATTTATTGTTAGAACAGCCTTCTTTCTTTCTTTACTAAGAGGAGGTAAAAAATAAACCATACTTACGCCGTGGTTGTCTTCGGCATGCTTTATACAGGCAGCAACATGAACAGGTGAAGCAGAAAATGATGGTCACCACAAACAGTACAAATATGGAAACACCAACAGCTATGACAGTCCCGCTGTAAGAGGAAAAGACACATTTGAAAACTAAGGTGTCTATCAAAACAGGAGGCAATCGTCAGTTATAACCGAAAACACCGATAAATCACACAGTTATCCTTTGTTCATCAAATATTTGATCTAATTTGTTATATTTAGAAAAAAATGCATAAAAATAACATTCAGTGTGCAAACAAGCAATTTCCCTTAGAGGTTTATCATATGGATTATGTCAAATAAAAAAATGAGGATTAAAAATTCAGTACTATGATCTAGAAGTGTTCTTTCACGAAGGGGCATAGTCATACCAAAGAAAGAAAAAGCAGCAGAGAGGCATATATAGATGCATCATGTGTATCACTATATCTGAAGGAGCATCTCCACCCCCATCATTCAACCAGGACACAGAGGTCCAGCGCGGAGGGCCTTCTGGCGGTTCCCTCACTGAGAGAAGTGCGGTTACAGGGAACCAGGCAGAGGGCCTTCTCAGTAGTGGCGTCTGCCCTGTGGAACACCCTCCCGTCAGATATCAAGGAAATACCGTATTTTTCGCTCTATAAGACGCACCAGACCATAAGACGAACCTAGTTTTTGGAGGAGGAAAACAAGAAAAAAAAAATTCTGAATCTCAGAAGCCAGAACAACAAGAGGGATCACTGCGCAGTGAAAGCAGTGATCCCTCTTGCTGTTCTGGCTTCTGGGATAGCTGCGCAGCCTGCATTCGCTCCATAAGACGCACACACATTTCCCCTTGCTTTTTAGGAGGGAAAAAGTGAGTCTTATAGAGCAAAAAATATGGTAAACAACTATCTGGTGTTTAGAAGACATCTGAAGGCAGCCCTGTTTTGGGAAGTTTTTAATGACTGAGGTTTTAATGTATTTTTAATCTTTTGTTGGAAGCCGCCTAGAGTGGCTGGGGAAAGAGGGTATAAATAAATTATTATTATTATTATTATTATTATTATTATTATTATTATTGAGTGGATGAGTAGGTACACACTGTGTTGGGGTGCTTGGTCGCACTGGCATGCACATGGCTACATGTATGTCATCAAGTTGACCGTCCCTGTGCGCGCAAGTCACTTGGCTTCCAAATGTCATCAATCTTTAGCAGTATGCATTAACCTAGACTTGCCAAGAACAAATCTTTAGCTCTGCTCCTTTTCTGTGCTGGACCTACTATGCATAGGGTGATCATTAGACCAGGCCACAAGACTACCACTGCTTGGCATTTGTTCAGTACTGATAGTGTGCTGAGCACACTAAGGTAACATAGTTCCTGCCCAGAGGTCTTACAATCCACAGTAGAAGGGCAATTCAGGGATGGGGAAAGACTACAATGCAGGTGGGTGGGTGGCCCCTGGTCTCCTTTTATGTAACCCTTGACACCTCCTGAACAGTGTTTGAAACTCCCATTGTTCTAGGCACATTTTGTGATAGGGGATTTCATTAGCGCGAGCAGTTTCTGAGGTCCGGGTGCAGTTCTGTGCCTAAGATTTCAGATTAAAACTGCAGAGTGGAAGGAAAGAAGGATCTTTTTCTGCCTCCTCACTTCCAGTTACTCTCTGAAGACTGAAGAAGAGACCCTCTAAAGAATATTAGGGGAGTGGGCAGCGGAAGGACTAGATCATGTGAAAAATGAACTTAATATTTTCGCTGCAATTCATTCATTTTCAGCTTTGTATTCTTGTTATAAAAAAGTGGGCCTAGACGTACCTCAGTTTCTTTCCGGTTTTTTGTGGTTTTTCAAAGTGTTCCTCCCCTCAGTATATGCCATTTCAGAACAATTTCGTTTTAATAATAATAATAATAATAATAATAATAATAATAATAATAATTTATATCCCGCCCTCCCCAGCTGAAGCTGGGCTCAGATTGGCTAACAACAGTAAAATAATACAGCATTCTAAAATCAATTCATTATAAAATCAGTTCAAATCAAATTGATGGCAACCATTGGGCTAGAGTTCTGTGAAGAATTACCAAAGGAGGGGGTCAGGCTGTGCCTTGGCCAAAGGCCTGGTGGAACAGCTCTGTCTTGCAGGCCCTGCAGAAAGATGTCAAGTCCCGCAGGGCCCTAGTCTCTTGTGACAGATAAACTGATTTCTTTTTTTATTCTTTTTTACTTCTCCTCCTGTTTGTATGGCTTGGAGAAAAGAAGTATTTTCCCCACCTGTCCAAGAAAGAAATTAGTAGGCTTCTGCCATATGTGTGTGGGTGTGTAGCATCCTGAAGTCAGAAAGTAATTGTTTTAATTTGCTTTCTAGAACATTAGCTGTACTGGCTGTTGTACTATTATTATTTTTAATTCTCTGTAGTTATTTGAGACTAACCTCATAAAACCCAGTAAAGCATTCATCTGAGTAGAATTGTACAGGATTAGGAATTCTAATCAGAGGCATACCACAGCTAAACTTGAAGCAGTGTGATCTTTATTCCACCTTTATCACCACCTTTATGTAACCAGTGAGGAAATGATGACACTGACAGGAGGGGAAAGTTCCTTGCCCTTGGGTTAAAGGTTAGGGTAGAGAATCGTAAAAGAAGTTGATCTCGAGGAGAGATTCAGATGAAAAGAGAAGCTGCACCAGGCAAAATCCAAATTGGGCCACCTTCAGCAACCAAGTGACCTTCATAAATCATGTGCATTGAGCAACTTTTCATAATTTTAATTTGTGAATATTTGTTTTTTAGTGTTGACTGTTTTGCACAAATTATTCTGGGTTTTGTATTTATTGGTTAGGGGAAGGAGCCACCAAGGCCTAATTGTAACCACTAGGGAAGGGTTTCAACATAGTGATATCAGGATAGCTTCATCAGCAAAAGCATTTCTGCTTGCTTGGTGGAATAATCTCCCCTCTCCTTCTCCCAAGTACTATTCTGGGCATTATCCTGATCCACCTGAGCCAATCTAGGGGACGCATGGGGGGAAGGAGAAGATGGTAAAGTCCAGTTGTGCCAACTTCCACTTGTGGGACCAATTAATTCAGTCCAGCCCTAGGAATTTGGTTCAGTTATCTCTGGCTTTAGTTATTTTAGCAGGAATTGCCCAGGCACATTCAAATTATTTTTTTACTCATAAGGGCAAAAAAATTACATTTCCCCCACATTAAGAAGAATCCATGATAAGAGTTTTACATATCAAACCTCCATTTTAAACTTCTTTCTATTCTTTAAAACGAATCCAACAACAATAAAAAAGCTCCAATGAGGTGGAAACAAAATGGCCACAATGAAACAAAATAAAGCATTTAAGGATTTCACAGTGATACTACATCTTCAGTTGCATGTTTATATTCTGCTCCATGCTTCTGCCAAACATCAGGCCAGTCAGGCTAAAAAAAATGTTTGTGTTCAACAACATTCAGCCAATGCACTTAGGTTTAATGCACTGGTGGGTAAACTACATTATTGTCAGCTACAGTGATAATCTTTCCACTGCATGATGAGAAAACTGAAGGCACACCCAAAATATTTTACGAAGTGCAAGCTAGTATATCTTTGAGACGGCAGCAGCAAGCCATCTGACAACTTCAGTACTGTACTGACTAATTCCTGAAGCTCATACCAAAATAGGGGTGGGGAGAAACACCCACAGCTTGCATTCATTGAGTGTTCCTTTCCTTAAATGTGAAAAGCAAGAGCTTACTGGTGTTATGCAAAACTAGACACAATTTACTGTATATGAGCAGCCAAGTGCTGCAGCACAATATAGACTCTTCCGTGAATTGGCAACACCGCCACAAAATGAAATGTCTTGTGCAACCAAGGGCAGGGAGGGAGAATCACACTTATTGGAGGCCATCTTAAACACAGTCCTTGTAACAGCGATTGCAATGCAAGCTGAATCAGGTCTTTCTTCACTTTCAGATGCTGATTTTAGAGGTTAATGCAGTGATTCTTTAATCTACTACCGCCCATCAAGTACACAACATTGCCATATGGCCCCTGCCCCAAACCACCACCGCCGCAGCCACCACCATCATCATCGAACTCTAGATGAGGCAACTTGGTAAGAATATATAGATGTTATTACTAAAAGGTGAAAAAGATAAACAATCTAACGAGGAGCCAGAGAATATATAGGTGTATTTCTTATGCATGCATACGATACTCAGATCTCAGGTTCAATGAGACCACTGTACCAGACAGTCATTAGCCAACATCACCAACAGCAGACTGCCACCCACCCACTCTATCTCCAGGCAGCAGCACGGTTATTAAAATTGTGAGGGGAAAGAAGGGATGTGGTTGTGGTTGTTTTGTTCAAGCTGTAGGGGAAGAGCTGAGGAAAGTTGTCCCCAGGTGGAAGAGACAGTGGCAGGAAATGAGGTTGGTTGTTTATTGTCTTCAGCTACAAGCAGAGTTAGTGGTCAAACAAACATTATTTCTGATAAAGCCTGGGAGCTTGCAAAAGCTGACCTCTCCAGCCAGGCAACAGCGCTGAGTCAGTAGTTTAGGAACTGACCTCTTGGATCATAGCTGCTTCTCTTACAAGGGCCACACGCTAGATGTCGAGTTGACAATGCATACATTACAACATCTCAACCAGCGGGGCACCTCCTCCCCAGAATGGCATATGAAGATTTCAGGGTGGGTTCATGTTTCCAAAAAAACATGTCCTCATATGTATATGTCACAATATTTCAATACTATTGAAAATTCAAATCATATAATTAGGGGAGCCAGGTAATTGCTCTTTGGTGGTGAGTTCTGAAAGCTCATACAAAGAAGGAAGAAATGGATTCTCAGAAAAACACCACCATTTTTTAATAGGCAGTTTTTCAAGAACCTGTTTCTCCCTTGTCTCTGATGATATTAGTGTATCCACTCTGTTATTTTCTTTCTGGAAGCTCATCAGGTATACTCAGTCTCATTGGAGAGCAGGCTTTCCAGTTTGATTCTCTCTTTGCTGCACGAGCTCCTTAAAGAGCCTGAGGAAGAAGTCTAGGATCTGGGGATTTTTTCTTAGGGTATGGTGAACAGGAAAAAGCAACTGTCCTCTGCTGTTGTTATAACC